AGACCATAGTCACTACATACTATTGCCGGTTCCCAGTCTCAGGCCGGGAGTCAGGGTTAGGTCAGAACCTGCAGCCCTGCTGGTGGAGAATTGAGGCCACGGCAGGGTTTGGACACACACCCACGGCATCCGGGGCTTACCTCCAGAACTGCAGCCTCCACGCTGGGCAAGAGAGCGCCTGGGCGGCTGTCAACCATGGAGGGGAGGCCCTGGCCCGGCGGCGCATCTATCGGGACTCGGGTATCCTGGGCGCCTGGATCTCGCTGCCCTCCGCCGCCAGGGGGTTGGGGTGTGGGTGTGGGTGTGTGTCCTGGGGGGGTTGGGAGGGAAGGGAGCACCGCACTCAAAAACGAAACGTGCAGGAAATTTCCAACAGACAATCGCGAAGAGCAGATTTGGGGAAGCTCTGCCTTTTGGCCAAGGCCCCATTGACAGGGGGTCAGCAACAGCCCGACTCCTCCAGAAGTGGGTTCACATCGCACCCTGCCCCTTTGGGCAACTCTGGGCAAGTCCCCTCCTAGCTTGGCCTCAGTTGCGTTCATTGTAAATAAATCCTGGCACGGAGTGAAAACACGGAGCTACCAGCCAAACGTCGCGGGGCGTCCTTGGTGGGCTCAGGCCGTGCAGCCGGGGGCCGCTGGGACAGCGGCCGGGAAGACAGAACCGGAGTTCCTGCGTCACGTGGTCATAAGCCCGCCCACTCTCGCCCGCGTCTAAACGTCATCCGCCCCGCCCCGGAAGTGACTGTTTATGTGTTCCGGGTCTGCGCGCGCAGCGGCCAGGGGTTCCGGATGTCGCGTGGTCTGGTGACCCGAGGCGGGGCATCTCTGCGGGCCTAGGTCGTGCGTCCTGGCCTGGAGCAACCGAGGTCACCCTGAGCTGCGGACCTCGACGCGATGCTGAGCAAGTTCCTGGGCCCGCGCTACCTCCAACTGGCCAAGAACTGGTGAGGTCTTGACCTCTACCCTTCGTACCCCGCGCCCGCCCTTCCCGGTCCGCCCCGCCGCTGTGCGGCCCCAATCAGTGCGCGCACCGCCGCCCCCAAACCCATAATTGTGCGGGGCCACAGATGGGAAAACTGAGGCACAGAGAGGCAGAGCGGTCTGGCCCAGCCACACACTAGTACGTGGTGGGCTCCGGGTCCGAGGCCGAAGCGCTCAGAGCCTGTTTTCCCACCTGAGGGCCACGACGTTGCCCACCCGGGAGGCGCGCCCCCTGTCCCCGCCCAGCATCCTCGGCTCAGCTCTTCGGGCCTGAAAACTAATCGTGTGTGTTCCCGACTTTGCTTTTGACGTTTTAAATGACCTTGTACTGGGAGCATGAAGCCCACGGCTGCATCTGCCTCTGCACCCTTGTGGGAAGTAGATGGGATTGGGGTGGCTGCCTAAGGGGCTAAGAGGGGCCTACACTTGGCAGGCGAGCCCCCGAGCTCAGGCAGGAGTGGGAGCGGCCTCTGGACAGTGGCTCTGGCAGAGTCCTTCAGGTGGACACTGATGTCGATGATTGACAGCGGGGTGACCCGGGCCCAGGACGGTTGAAAGGGTTGAAGGCTGTTCCTGGTGCATCTGGTGAGAAGCACCAGCGCCGATGCAGTCCCTCCGCCTGTTGGCTCTGACTTCCCGAACTCAGCTCAGTCGGTTCATTCTCATCCGGACTTGGTCAGCGCAGCGACAAATCATCCAGGCTTTCAGTTAGTAAGCACTTATTGAGCACCCACGATGTGCTAGCACATAGCACTGTGGGTGCCAGAGACACAGCAATAAATGGAACCTTTGTGGCTGATGTTCTAGTCAGTGGACAAGAGAAAGTACATGAGATCTATAAGACTGTCCTCAAGGGAGTAACTCACCCACTCTGTGCCTGTTCTCATCTGTAAAACAGAGACCCTGATATTCATGCCTCCTTCAGTTCTAGGCTGTTGCAGGAGATAGCCAATCACTGTAAACTGTATATATGGTGCTTGCATGCACATATTAGCTGTTGCAATGGTGGTTACAACTTGTGTGTGTGTGTGTGTGTGTGTGTGTGTGTGTGTGTGTGTTTAAATTGATTTCAGAGGAAGGGAGATGGAGAGAGAGAGAAACATCAATGAGAGAGAATCATTGATAGGATGTGTGTACACACACACATACATATGTACACACACACACACACACACACACACACATACACACGCACCTCCGGGGATGGAGCCCACAACCAGGACGTGTGCCCTGACCAGGAATCGAACCTTGACCTCCTGGTTCATAAGTCAGTGCTCAACCACTGAGCCATACAGGCTGGGCAGGTTTGGTGGATGAGGCAGCTGATCGACGCTTCTCTCTCATCGATGTTTCTAACTTTCTATATCTCTCACTTCCTCTCTGTAAGAAATCAATAAAATATATTAAAAAAAAAAATCGTAGGCAGATCCCAATTTGAAACCAATTTGGAGTCACTTCAGAGTCCTCTGTTTGTGCCCACCCTGCAGGATCATCAGCAGGATGTGTTCACACACTGGACAGGGGTCAGTGCATGGTGGATACTTGATATTACAGTAGCTGGGGATTGGGGAGGGACCCACATGTGCTACCAGGAGGATGAGACCCCAGCAAGGCCTGACCCCCACTGTCCTCTCACAGGATCCCCACGGCGGGCATGTGGGGCACCGTGGGCGCCGTGGGGCTAGTGTGGGCCACCGACTGGCGACTGATTCTGGACTGGGTGCCCTACATCAATGGCAAGTTTAAGAAGGACGACTAATTAAACTGACCTCCTCAGACCCCTCTGGTAAGTTTAGCAGCTGTCGGCAGGTGAATCCCATGATTCCCTCATGGCAGAGGAGTGACCTTCCCGCAAGGTGGGTTCCCCATTTCCAGGCCTGGAGCAGCAAGGTTGGTAGGCTGGACTGTTCACCCTGGAGAATCGTGCCTAAGGGCGGAGCTCTTGGGTAGGCTCTCCAGGTACCTCCTGCCTAATGGCACAGAGCTGCCAGCTGGCAGCCTCAGTTTATGGGACAAGGGAATGGGCACTGTTCACTGCTCAATCTGGGAGAATGACCATCACTCTACTTGCCATCTCAATCTGCCCAGCCCTGGGTAGGACAGAAGGATGCTCATTTTACAGATGGGGCAGTGGAGTTGGTGGGCCACAGTAATGACCCTTCAGACTTGTCCATTAGTCCCCAGCGTGACCATCATCACTGTGCTATGTTACTAGCTTGCTCCCCACATGAGTGTGCATGGCTTTACCCCATGTCACAGATGAGGAGCTGCAGCCCTTAGATGGCACAGCTAGATCTGGTTTTGGAACGTGGCTGCAGCATCTGTGTTCCTCCTCACAGCTCAATGCCTCTTTCCCCATAAGATCTGGAGCCAGGAGACTTCTGCTCACCCTCTTGTTCCCCTCTAGGTGACTGGTGGTGCCAACAGCTTCCTTCTCAGCACCTGCTGCATCTGGAACAGCCCCAGCCTTCGGCATGGATCGAGAGGAAATCTACAGTGTGACTTAGGACTTTCTATGTTTCTGAAAATAACTTTGATGTGTGAATGCATTAAACCTTGCTCTGAAACCTGCCCTGCCTGGACATGGTGATGCTGGGGACTTGGTAACCTGGTGGCTCGGGAGACCCAGGGGTCCTTTCAGCTCCAAAATTTTGCAAATCTCTGCATTTCCTAATGGCTCGCAGAAATTGGTTATTTAGGTATTTAATGGATAATACCTATAAAGTGCATTTACCTATTGTTACCTTAAGAAATTACCCCATAATGCCCGGCAAGTATGGCTTAGTTCAGCAGTTCTCAACCTGTGGGTCGCGACCCCTTTGGGGGTTGAACAACCCTTTCACAGGGGTTGCCTAAGACCACCGGAAAACACATATATAATTACATATTGTTTACAGTAGCAAAATTAGTTGTGAAGTAGCAACTAAAATAATTTTATGGTTGGGGGCCACCACCACATGAGGAACTGTTTTAAAGGGTCGCGGCATTAGGAAGGTTGAGAACCACTGGCTTAGTTGATTGAGAATCGTCCCATGCACCAAGAGATTGCTGGTTTGATTCCAGGTCAGGGCACATGTCCAGGTTGTGGGCTCGATTCCCCAGTGGGGGGCCTGCAAGAGGCGGCAGATCAATGTTTTTTTGTTTCATTATTTTAGAGAGGGAGAGAAAAAAAACATTGATCAGATGCCTCCCACATGCCCCCCTTCTGAATATCAAGCCTGAAACCCAGGCATGTGCCCTGACCGGGAATTGAACCAACAACCTCAACCAACTGAACTACACTGACTGAGCAATAAAAATATATCTTTAGAAAAAAAGACAGAAATTACCCTATCACAAACATTCATTATTTTCAGTTTCTGTGGGCCAAGAATTTGGGAGTAACTTATCGGTTGTCCTGGCTCAGGGTCTCTCATGAGGCTTCAATCAAGGGGCCACCTCATCTGAAGGCCAGACTGCGGATGGAGGAGCCAGTATATCTCCCTCATGTGGCTGTTGGCACAGTGAGGCCTCAGCTCGTCTCCAGGTGGCTTGCCCACAGAGCTGCTTGGATCTTCACAATGTGGCTGCTAACTCCCGCACCACCCCCTGCAACCCCTCCGTGAGTGGTTTCACAGTGAGCAAGCAGAAGCCACATGTCTTATGAGCTACCCTCGAAAGTCTTAACTCCATCCTCTATTCTATTCTCACTGCACATTCCATTCATTAGGACCACATCCCCGCATCCAGCCCACACGCAAGGGGAGAAGAATTAGACTCTGTTTTCAAAGGAGGAATATCAGAACTTACAGATGTATGAAACCATCACATGAAGGATGTAAAAACGGGTAGGTACATACGGATAAGGCATAGTCCGTTCCCTCTGGTGCCCCTGCCCAGTTCTAATTCTTGCCAAGTTCTTGAAAATTCTAGAAAGATTCTATACAGACAGTGTATTTTTTAAAATAGCTGTTGTATTAGTCTGCATGGGCTATCATAACAAAACACCACAAATTGGGTGGCTTAACAGAATTTATCTTAACAGAATTTAGATAATGAAAGTAGTTTCAATTTTCTCACAGTTCTGGAGGCTGGAAGTCTAAGATCAAGGTTCCAACAGGGTTGGCTTTGTGAGGACCTGACTCCTGGCTTGCAGACAGCTGCCTTCTCACTTGATGCCTGAGTAGAGGGAGGAAGAGAGAGCAAGTGGGCTCTCTGGTGTCTCCTAGAACCGCACTCATCCCAGGGTGCCAGGACCCACCTTTCTGATCTTATTTAACCTCTTTATATCCTTAGAGGCCCCAATCCAGACAGCCACACTGGGGCTCAGAACTTCAACATAGGAATTTGGGGGGCAGGAAGCCCTTATGCAGTCCATAACAGCTGTATATTTTTAACACAAGTAGTGGCATTTACTACACACCTTTCCACGTATACTTTGTTCATCTAAGGCTTATTACCTGGATGTATGAATGCATTAAACCTTGCTCTGGCCAAAACCGGTTTGGCTCAGTGGATAAGGCGTCCGCTTGCGGACTGAAAGGTCCCAGGTTCGATTCCGGTCAAGGGCATGTACCTGGGTTGCGGGCACATCCCCAGTAGGGAGTGTGCAGGAGGCAGCTGATCGATGTTTCTCTCTCATGGATGTTTCTAACTATCTCTCTCCCTTCCTCTCTGTAAAAAATCAATAAAATACATTTTAAAACAAACAAAAAAAAACCTCGCTCTGAAGCCTGCCCTGCCTGGATGTGGTGATGCTGAAGACTTGATAACCTGATGGCTTGAGTGACCACTTAACCCTTTGAGTGCCAACCAATATCCTAGGAACTATGCTAAAATTGCCAAGGCATTTTGAGTTAAGGTTTTTAATTTTTTTTCCCCCACATAAAGAGTGAACTACTAGCATCTAATAGTGACACTGCAGGAGGAGCGCAATAGCGCTCCCGGCACTAATGGTGAAAGACAGGAGGAGAGCGATCGCGCTCTCTGGCACTCAAGGTGTTAAGCAGTATCCTTAGTTTTATTTTTTGGAGCTTGTGTTGTTGTTTTTTGTAGTTAGGTTGATATTTCTCAATGAAATGCTTATTACGGAAGTAATAAAGCTAGAACGTTTTTGGAAGGCATGCATTTCATTTCCAGTTTAGAGAACTTTAGTCAATAAATCATGTCCAAACTACACATTAAAATGTTTATAAGCCAGAACCGGTTTGGCTCAGTGGATAGAGCATCGGCCTGCGGACTCAAGGGTCCCGGGTTCGATTCCGGTCAAGGGCATGTACCTTGGTTGTGGGCACATCTCCCGAGCGGGGCATGCAGGAGGCGGCTGATCAGTGTTTCTCTCTCATCGATGTTTCTAACTATCCCTCTCCCTTCCTCTCTGTATAAAATCAATAAAACATTTAAAAAAATAAAAATATATTTAAAATAAAATGTTTATAAAACTCAAGCTTTAAAAAAATAAGCAAGCTTTAACATTTATATGTAGCTTTCCACATCTGTGCAGGCAAGGAATAATACTGCACATAAGTGTAAGCAATGCAAAAATGTGGAAGTGGAGTGATGTGCTAGAAATTGAATACAGAGTATAAGAAAGCAATGGAAAAATCAAAATAGAAAACAGGAAAAACTATATGATCAGAATTAGGAAAGGTGAAGAATAATACCCTTGTTACTATATAAGTTAAACTAATGAGCCCTAACCGGTTTGGCTCAGTAGATGGAGCGTCAGCCTGCGATGGGGTCTCGAGTTCGATTCCAGTCAAGGACACATGCCCAGGTTGCAGGCTCAATCCCCATCAGGAGGCAGACAATGATTCTCTCTCTTTACTGTTTCTATTTCTCTCTCCCTCTCCCCTCCTCTCTGAAATCAATAAAAATATATTTTGAAAAAGTTAAATTAGTGACACACATAGCACTTAACGTAATTTATTTTTAATCCGAGATTTTTCATTGATTCTAGAGAAAGGAATGGAGAGAGACATTGATCGGTTGCCTCCTGTACATGCCCTGGCCGGAGATCCAACCCAAAACCTGGATATGTGCCCTGACTAGGAATCAAACCCAAGACCCTTCAGTGCATGGGACGACACTCCACAAACTACTGAGCAACACTAGCCAGGGCAGCAGCCTCAGTTTTTAAAACTACTTGGTACTAACATTTATTAACTAGTCAGTTAGCCAGGGATGTTCATTTCCTGTCACTTGCCATTTATAATACTTGAGATGTTCTTTCAGACATATATGAACATATCTGTCACTTAAATACATGGTGAATTGTGAGATAAATGAGTATTCATATATTTTTGTTAACAGTATTTAACACATACAGCGTGGACAGGCTGTGCAAAAGGAAACATGCCCCAATTCCCATATTTTTAGGCATTTTTGTAATGGTTAATAGTTTTTAAAAAAATATATTTTATTGATTTTTTACAGAGAGGAAGGGAGAGGAATAGAGAGAGAAACATCAATGATGAGAGAGAATCATTGATCAGCTGCCTCCTGCACACCCCCTCTACTGGGGATCAGGCCCACAACCCAGGCATATGCCCTTGAGTGGAATTGAACCCAGGACCTTTCAGTCCTCAGACCGACGCTCTATCCTGAGCCAAACCGGGTAGGGCAATACTTTTTTTAATGACTTTAATGTTCTGAGGGAAAAACTTAATCGTTAAAAAAAACTACATAAAAAATAAGTACATAAAAAATAATTTTAAAACGACATAAAGGGCATGTCTCATTTTGTCTTGGTCTCCAAAATGGCTTGACACAGCAGTTTGCTCAATTCTGTATTTACTTAAAATTTTAAGCCCTAACTGGTTTGGCTCAGTGGATAGAGCATCGGAATGGGGACTCAAGGGTCCCAGGTTCGGTTCCGGTCAAGGGCATGTACCTTGGTTGCGGGCACATCCCCAGTAGGAAGTGTGCAGGAGGCAGCTGATCAATGTTTCTCTGTCATTGATG